CTTCTCAAAAATAGTACTCAAGTACAGTAACGAAGTACATTTACTTCGCTACTTGACACCACTGCTAAAAATGTAGGATAAGGGTTTTAATTTGATAGAGGTTGAGAAACAATGTTAATAAACTGATTAGGTACATCAGTAATGAAGCTTGTTACTGTCAAGGTTTAAGGCTAGATTAATATCACCAGGATGTATACTTGAAAGAACAAAACTTGATGATAGATTACTAGAGAAATATTGAGCGGGGTCTATATTGTCATGAAATATTCATTAAACTGGTTAACGAATAACGATACTTTGTTTGCTAGTAAAAGTATTATTATTGCGTATTAGCCTGGTAGGTGTAGTTTGGGATTTTGTATTCCTTTAATTATATACAGTAGTCCCAATAAGTTTGCAAGTATTTTTAATCAAGATTATATTTGTTTATTGTGAATTGTGTTGGCTAAAGTATGCTTTTTATAGCGACAGCACTTCTGACGATTATCCACCAATATTTGAAGTGACCACTCCTTAAACGTTATTACCATAACAAAGTATGTTCAGGAATTGCAGGAATTCAAAGTGGTTTGTTGCCAATATATTGCCTATACCTATTAAAAACATTCAGAAGAATAAAACGGAAACAAACGCCCGTCACCAGACCACAGATAAGACGTCTTAGCGAAGTACATGCTAATTAATACGGTAACGAGACTAATGCTGCGATTCATGCTTGCATATTATACATTGTTTTCAAAGTCTAATTAAACAGTTTCAGAATACTAGAGAAGAATTAATGTACAAAATGTTGCCAATACTTCTGTTCTTTATTTTGGGATGCTCATTCTCAAAGACGGCTGGTGAGTATTACTAAAGTAGAATACTATTATAGTATATAAATTTTGGTCGTCATGGATTAATTTCTGTTGTGGATAGCCGTATATCACTGTTTACAAATATCTTATGTTGTTGTTTAATATAATATCTTGTATGCCACTATTTTGTAACGTTCGTAACAATTCTAATTGTCATTTTAATTGTTGTGGTTTGAACGTATTTGTACTTTGGATAAATGCTCAACGATGTCAACAACGCTGGGATAATATTAATCCGAATACTTTAATGGCCCACATTCTCCTAGAGACGGATGTTCCGTCTGGATGAATTTGGCAAATGAAAAACAGTTTGTCTGATAACTTGTCTTTGTATAAATGCAGCAAACAAATGGATGATCTGTGTGGTTTGTGTGTACACAGATGGTCTAAGTTGATGTATGAATCATCTATGTGTAGAATATCGCGTATAAATTGGGCCATTCAAATATCTGATAAACCCATGCTCAGACCAGATTAATGTAACGATTATTAATGTTACTGTGATAAATATACAGGAATGTCATAGCCAATTAATGGAATCAGACAGACTGAAACAAATGGCATCTGATAATATCTATCCCAGGGAAAACCTGATATGTCAACTAGGAGTTAACCCATTCAGTGCCAGCACTCTCCTCATGACAAGTAAAATTGTCGGCTGTTAAACAGAGTAAAATAATAAATTAGGGAGCAGGTACAACTTCATATTACTCTATTATATTTACTTGTTTAAGTATGCACTCAAATAAGTGTGGAATATATGTAAGAGTATAAGATGAGTGCTTCCTTGAATAACGGCTGTACAACACCATGGTGCCAGTACTCTCCCCTTGACAAGCAAAATTGTCTGGCATTAGACAGAGTAAAATAGCAAAATAGGGTGCATTGGGGCATAGCATAACTTACGTTAAAGTGTTAAAAACACTGTAATACAGGCGGCTAAAGAAGACTGTCTAACTGTGCTTTGATGAAGTTCAAAATGAGTATATTTGAGTATTTTACTTGCTTTCTCATTGTGCTCACTCTTTCCAGTGAGGCAGTCACTACATTTTGCAGACAATACAATTTTTCAACTATGCATACAGTGTATAATGTATCAGTCAATTCCAGCAGTGCCCATCCTTCCCCCCCGGGCCACCCCTGGGCCTTTGCAGCTTTCCTAATCCCGGGGGTGGGGCTATTGCCGAACTTTTTCAGCCCGGGGGTGGGGACTTAGACGTTTTCCATCATGGCAATTGGTGGACTATAACATGGCAGATTTCGCTGGAAAAGATACTGAATTCGTTTGCAAATGGCTTGATACTCATTCTTTGGGATGGTCTTTCAGTACCATTGTCTTTGATCATTATTTGATGAGTAAAATACTTTGTCTACATGAAATGGTTTTTCTCCTTCAATGGACAATGATCACCATAAAAAATGATCTATGAGTGCATCGCCGACAATCAGTGACATACGAAACTTTGCTTTTTTATTGTCCAGTAAGGCATAAAATTATAACGTGTGCAAATCAATGTGTACTAAACAGTCAATATTATTGCCCGGGGATATAGACCCAATTTGTTAGCCCAAGGGTGGGGCTTTAGCACAGTTCTTCTTTCCCTGGGGTGGGAAAGAAGAACTGTGCTAAAGCCCCACCCTTGACTAAAGCCCCACTCAATGATTAATTGATTTTAATCAATCAATATTGATATTGACTAATTGATTACAATAATGAACTGATGTGAGCAGCTATAACCACTGAAAATCAAGTCATTATCAATAACATCTTAGCCATTGCTAGTAAATATATTGTCCAACCCAGGTACCTAATCGTTTGAACATCAGAAACCCTGTACATACCTAATGTTCCTCTGTTGTGTACATGAAGCTTTCATTGGTACATACCATTGACACTAGCTGCTGCTAAACTGCTGTTAGTCAGAGTTACATATTACATGTCTGAGTACAGCAAGCCTTATTTTTTGTTTCATTTTACTTTATATAATTCAGTTTAAGTATTCATTTAAAAGAGTTTAGTAATTGACTTGGTTTTATTTATAATTGAAGACAGTTTTTTATAAATGAAGGGTACCATAGAGCAGTCTTATTATTAAACAATAGCCATTGGGCACTGAGGATTTGATATGATTTACACTTAGTTACAAACAATGGAAAGCAAGAAAATTACAGAATACCTAAAAACTGCCGCTGACATTTGATATCCAGCCTCTTTGAAAATGGGCCCCCTGCTTTTCTATAAAATGGTACCCAGTTATGCCACTGATGTACCTAGTGTACCCTGATGTCTCACTTGCCACCTACCATCTCAGAGTCCAAAGTAATATCATTGAAAAGAATTTCAAAAATGACACTTAAACATCTTTCTCTGACAAGTCTTTTTTTTCACTCTGTCACTGACAGTAAAATATCCAAACAGATGCTGTATAGCCATGGCCGCCAGCCCCCTGGCGGTGCACACTGTGTATAATGTACTGACTCGTCCCCAGTCGCTTCAGTAACGCGCGCGTTCCATGGTCCTTTGCGTTAGAAGCAGTGTTAGGGACTGTGCATTCCCATGGTCCTTTGCGTTAGAAGCAGTGTTAGGGACTGTGGAAGAGTCAGTATAATGTATATATCACATGCTACAATGGAGGAAACTGGAAGATGATGCTTGAGTTGAGCATAGGTAGCCCAACAATCAGTGGTATTAATTCATTTCTGTTCAGTAAAATCATACTACTACTCAGTCCCAACTGCATTGTTTACGCGCGGTCAAATCATGTATGTATCTCATATAGTATTATATGCTATAATAGCATATAATACTATAGCATATTTGTGTATAATAATATAAGATAATATTATAGCATATAATACTATAGGAGATACATACACTGTACATGATCTGACCGCGCGTAAACAATGCAGTCAGGGACTTAGTAGTAGTATGATTTTGTTGTATGATATTATTGAACAGAAATGAATTAATACCACTGATTGTTGGGCTACCTATGAGTTGAGGGAAAGGTTTGGTACGTGAACATTCATCCGGTCATATCCAGATTTAATTATATACTAGT